TTTTTTTTTCTCAATCCCACCCATTTAGTTGAGATTAATCTCTTTTGTAACATAGAGCTCGAAATTTTTTATCACTAGCCATAAGGTGTTTGATCTAAAAGTCGAACCTGTTACCTTACAGGCTGAACAATTCACTCTTTTGGGCACAACCCACTTTTCGCCCCTTGAGTTTATATTCAGCCTTTTTACTGTGCAAACAGTACTTGATCTTTTTTTTTTTTGGTAAATCAAACAGTACTCTATGTTTCTCGTGATCATGGAGACTGCAAAAAATATATTATTAAAAATAAATTCTTCTTGCGCTATAATTTTATATAATTTTATGGGTTTTATAATTCTCATTTAACATGAGAATTCAAATTTTCCTACACACCCTTCGATTTCCGTACTGACATGAGTTCTACATATAATTTTTTCTAACACCTGTTTTCCACATACTTTTTATCTCTACAACATGAGAATTGAATTCTCATGTGAGAAAATCAAACCCCTAATTTTATTATGTAAGAAATTTATGTTTGTTTAATAAAATTTATATATATTTATAAAAAAAACAAATACAGCATATGCTAAGCGATTTAATTTACAGTTCTATAGTTTTGTTTTGTTTTGTTTTATTTTACATTTTACATAAAAGGGTATTTGGATGCAAAGAAAGCCTGCATATATAGGCATGACTTGTTCATATCATCTTATTTTATATTCTTGCGGAGAAAGGCTACACATGCCATGCCATGCATCGAGCTCAGTACTTTACATTTGCTTTCCAAAAGTGAACGCATATATAGTAATTATTGTTCTGTGCCCAATTACACAGATAAACAACTGTTTTTCTTTTTTCATTTTTTCTTGTTTTCAAGCCTGCCTGATTCACATGAGTTGAACCCTTCAACTAACGAATTTTGCATCCTAATCACAAAAGTCCAAATTAAGAAATGGCAAAAGAAGCACACCACTCGGCTAAATATTCCACCGCACACGCCTCCTTATTCATTGTGTAAAATCGTACAAAATAGCCTGTGATTGCAACATTTGAAGAACTTGTCAGCCTAGACTCAAACCACAGGACCACTCAACCAAGAAAATTCAAAGTGAGAAAAAAGAGAAAAATATATCAAGTGTTTCCTGTACCAAACAAAGAGAACAACTTGACTCCTTATTGGTGCCCAATATATAATTAAAAGGAATGAGAAATCAAATGTTTGGTTAGTACTCAGTACCCAACCGATCGTGAAACATGCATACATGGGGGGCCTCTTTGAAGTCGGCAGGTGCAAATGGGAAAAGTTCATTAATATTTTCTTCATATATTTTCAAACTTTATCTCGATTTTGGTCTAGCTTTCGAGTTTTCATTTTTCAATATGAGCACTTATTATTGAGATGCTTGTTTGTGGACAGTAATATTATGTGCACAAAGATTCAGAAATAATAGGTCCGAGCACAATCAATTACGTTCAAGGCAAAGCCAAGCTCGTTATTAAACAAAGGAACAATGTTTTGTCAGCTACTTCAATGCGAGCAAGCATAAATAGAACTATAAATACATCAATAATGTTCAACATAATTTTTTTTTACCAATTTAAGTAATAGAAACCACGCCATATGTGCTTGTAACAATCCAACATGCTAAAAGTTAGTAAGAAATTGTAAATGATTTGCACCATACCATTCCCACCAGCACCCCCCACACACACACACAAGAAGGAAAATAGATAAGGGGTTTACGCTCTCCCATAGATAAGAGATTAAACACTTTTTGATTGTATAGAATTGATATCAATATAAAAAAAAGGTTTGTCAATTTTTTAAAGATATGTAGAGGAAAATATACTACATGTAAAATTTACAAAACATTTTCTTTGAATTTAATAAAAAAGTTTAAATTAAGAAATTAAATACCTATCATTAAAACAAAATTGACACTCAATAAAATGCTTTTACACGAATCTCTAATAAATTATTAATAAAAGATATGAGTTCGTTTTTTCTGCAGTTAATGTAAATAAGTTATTGTTGCAACTTCAACAAGTGCACCGGTCGTAAAAATAATAAAAGTGTACTGAGTGCAAGATCGTTCCCACGAACATTGATTTTCAAGTACTAATTCGCTAACAACGATTTAGTTGGACAATCGAATTTGAGATGAAAAGAAAGAAAATCAGGAACAAGCAATTCCATAATTTACAATAAGTAAAGAAAAAGAATTTTGTTTTGAAACTCAAGAAAGAGCGTAATTAAGGTTTTGATTTTCCCCAATATCCTTCTTATGTTATGGATTAAACAATCAAGTAACTGTCCTTAATATAATGTCAATCGATTCCTCGTAAGTAATTAAGACCTAATCCCTTGTTACCTTAATTCTATGTAATATTGAAAGAATCCTAGTTCCGCGGCTATTCCTCAAGAAAACATGCATTAACATCAAGAATCTAAAGATTACATAATTGCCAGATGTCTATCCCTAGATCACAAGGATTATGATGAATTTATCAAATCAGGACTCATACAACAACATCTCTATTGTCATACAATTTCCCTAAATCAATCTACAAGGAGCTAACTCATAGAAAGCACTAAATATGATAAATTCATTCAAGTATAAAAAGAAAAATTACAGAGACAATTTAATCCATAACATAATAATTCCATTGGGTTCCATCTACCCTTAACTACATAAAAATCTAGAATAACATAGCGAAATTAAAGACAAGAGAAAGTAAAGAAAATCTCTCAAACTCTATTGGTGTAATGGCGTGAAGAGTCCTCAAAACCCCCCAACTTGTTCTTGAATTCAAACCGCTTCCGATGCTCCAAAGTATGAAAGACATGTTTCTCTTTCCAAAGTAGAATTTGCTCTTCTCAATTATTCAAAAACTTTCTTGTTTCTGAATGAGCCCCTTATTTATAGTTAAAAAACCATATCTTTTAATTTCCCATAGGATCCTATGGAATCTTCACTAAAATCTCCAATCATATCTTCAATTAGATGATTTTATAAATTGAACCTGAATTGCATCGCAATTGGACATTCAAATGCTAAAATCAACATTTGAACGTGCTAGATCTTGAGTTTTGTTCTACAACAGAGAGTTCAAATGTTGATTAACGCGTTCAAACGCACTTAAGTGCAATTTTTCACTGTTGGCTAGCGTTCAAATGTTGAAAATCACATCTGAACGCGCTCCTCGAGGAAAATTTCCTTCCTACTAGCGCTTTTGAATGTTGACTAAAGCGTTTAAATTCTGGAGGGCGTTTAAATGTTCTCAGCGCGAGGAAAATTGCTTATGACAGCGAGTTTGAATGTTGACAATGACATTAAAACGCGCTACAAGAGAGGTTTTTATTCCCGTTTGAGCATTTGAATGTTGATCTATAACATTTGAATGTTCTCCTCGAGTCCTTCATATTTGCTCAGTAGTTAGCACATTTTAACGTGCTAAACAACATCTGAATGTGCTTCATCACTGTAGATTTAACTTCTTGGATGAACAATGATCTTCCAATTCCAACTTTAATCTTTAAATCCATTCTTGCTCTAATTTGTATTAATTTGCCTTCAAAACCAATAAGAACAAGATATATTAGATAAAAATCCAATTTCCATGATTTTCAATCTTTAAAATGACGTAGTTTTGAAATAGAAATCAAGGTATTTTTGTAATTATAATTTATTTCAAGGTTATAATAGTCTTTTTCATTATAATTTTTTAATCTTTCGACCCAAAACGATGTCGTTTTGAGAGTGAATGTAGATAAGTTATCTACATTTACTGTAGAAACATTAAATCCAAAAAATATAAGGGATAATCATTTATGGAGTTGTGACAGAAATGATTCTTCTACCATAGACACAAACTTTGAGATTGAATCATTTTTCTCTTTCAATTTTGTGTATGAGACAGAGAAAATCATTTCTGCGACAATTGCAAAAATAATTTACTCAAAATATTAATAGGTAACTAATAAATTTGAGCAATATTTTTGTCATGTGAACCATGCATCCTTACCTTCTCTTCGGCACAAAAGCTCTCCTTAGTTTAATTATCATGCTATAAAAATATTATAATGTATTATTTATACCATTAACGTAATTTCCTTTTTTTAATTATGGGAAATGCGAATAACATGATACACGCGCATAAGTAATGAAAAGATAATAAGAAATGAAGCATAAGCAAGTTATAATTTCATTCAATGTATTTTGGATTTCTGTGGAATATCCTTTTAATGATGACAACGAAAGAAAAAGGTTGAAAGAATAAAGTTTTCCATTTACTTAGCAACGCATTATTTACAAAAATAAAAATTGAAGAGTTAAAATTTTTGTTGTTGTTATCTATCCTTTTTTTTTTTGAAAACAATAAAGAAAAAGAAGTAAGATATATGTGAATCTACCAATATATACTACCATTAATTTTCCGTTATACTCTCTCTTATAACCATTTTATTTGTTATTGAATCAAAATTAAATTAACAATTATAAAATGATTATTTTAATTTTGATCAAACGAAGTTATATGAAAAAATAAATTGTAAATATAAGTTTTATTTAAATTTCTTATTTATTTATTTATATTTCTGTTTTTTCTTTTATAAATAAATCTACGCAAAAGAAAGATGTTTTTAATAAAAGTAATATCAATCCCATTTATCATTCTTTGTTTTCTTTTCGTTTCTATGATTTTGGCCCCTTACCCCTCCCTTGTACTAAAGGACATGTACTAACTTGGAAGATGGGACTGAAATGAGAAAGTGACACCTGTCCTCTACTTATACCCCACGCACCAAGAGACAAGAGCCACCTGTCAGGTGGCGGCAGGTCAATCCCCCCATCTCTCAAGCAATAGAGCAACCATAACAACAACGATCACTACCACCACCAAGTACGCTTGCACCCACGTCATCTTACGTCGTCCCCTCCTAACAGATTCCGGCAACTCTCCGGCACAAACATCAAAGTAACTCAAAACAAATAAAAACATTACGAAGACAAAATATGGACACAATAAAAAATAGAGCAAGCTATCCGTGTTCATTTCATTGCACGAAATTCTGGCAGCAAAACAAAACATTACATCTTACGTACTCGAGAGAAAAGAAAAAAAAAATTAACCGGAGAACAATTTCGTTTCGTAAAACGGAACAACAGATTGAAACCGGTGGTTTCTCTGTCGCAAAAAATAGAGACAATCGCCTACGTATTCACACAGCACTTCCTTCTTCTTCTTTTTTCTTTATCAGATGCTGTTATTTTCTCTAGTTCTAAAATTAAAGAGAAATTCAAAATCAGACAATATGCAAACAAAAAATAAAACCCAATGGTCAGATTTTGGTTCAAGCTGGAGGAGGGTAGTTAAGGTCCAGATCCAAGCCTCTACCACCCTCATGATTGCCTTCATGGTGGTTCAGATCGATCACCGAGGATGAATCCGAGTCGCTTTGGGCTCCGTGGAACTCACTCGCCAACGCGGGTTGGTTGAACCCGAAGCGTTGTTGGTACGGACGGTGAGCCACCATGCCGGCGCGCAGGACAGCATCGAAGTACAAAACCTGGTTCGCCGCCGGCATCATGCCGGGAAATACCATGGCGGGCGGAGGGAACTGATGCTGGAAGGGGAACCGTACGGAGCCGGCAACGGCGGGGGCCAAGTTGAGGTCAAGCGGCGACGAATCAGCGACGACAGCGGCGGAGTCGCGGTCGCGGCTGGAGGACTCAACGGTGCTGCTCTGGCTGGGGCTCTGGTTCTTGACATTCTCAGAAAGGAGAGGGAAGTTGGTCTTGGCCTTAGGGCCACGGAAATCGCGGGCGGCGGCGTCATAGGCTCGCGCTGCCTCTTCCGCCGTGTCGAAGGTGCCGAGCCAGACGCGGCTCTTCTTGCCTGGATCTCTGATCTCGGCGGCGTATCTCCCCCACGGTCGTTTCCTCACTCCCCGAAAATGCACCTCTTTCACGCCGCCGTTACGGTTGCCGTTCCCCTTAACGCCACCTGTCTTATCCCTAGGTGCCATCAAAGTTATAAGACGTAACTTCGTTAAATTTTAAGGTAACTGATTTTTTTTTTTTTTTTTTTTTTGGTTCAATTCCTTTAGCAGAGAAGCAGTTTCTATGAGAAGAAGAGAGAAAATAGGATAGGGGAAAGACGCCTAGGAATTGAAAGAAGCAAGTGGGTTTTTTATAGAAGGTGAAGAGGGGCATGAATTATGAATTATGAATTATGAATTATGAATTAATTATAAATCCAAACAAGAAAGAGAAAGAGGGTACACAGTCAGCGATGAATTTGACTGTGATTATTATGATTATGCTATGCTCTGTTACAGAGCGTTGATCAAATTACTATACTGTCCCCGAATTACGTGGCATGTGGGTTGTCCAGACAGCAGACAAACGAGCATCATCATCCCCATTATCCTACGGCTGCGGACGGATGCACCTTTTTTTTTTTTTTTTCTTCTCTTTTCATGGGTTCAACTTCAATCCACTGTGTCTCACGCGCCTGTTGCTCTTTTCCTTTTTTGATTTTTTTTTATTTCATTAATTGATACTTGGTAGGAGTAATTTTTAGTCAGCGTTTTAATTTGTGGAGTTAAAGTGGGGTTTGGGGTCATTTTAATGAACGGATTAGGTAGTGATTTGTCGGAATAAGGGCAGCTTTTTTCTTGATGGCTCCGCAATAGAATAGAAATCAACATCAAACTTAATTCGTGAAACTGTAATAAGCTTTAATAATGCCATAATTGATTAAATGTATTTTATTTATTTTTTAAATTTAAAATACGTAAACGGGATAGGGATAGAGAAGGAAGGGAAGGATAGTGTACGTAGCAAAGTTGTCGGCGGAATCTTCTGGTCTCGCCGCGTGACTCGATTGTTAGATCTATATGTAATGAAAATAAATAGGATTATTTTAATAATGCATTATTAGGAGCCATGAGTACTGATTTGAAAGGACGGCGACTGCTATTGTTTATGGGCATAGGAAATCCTCGCCCATTGGCAAATGAATCTGCGGCGGCTTTTATTCTCAAGGAAGGAGCATCAATAGGGAGAGGTAGACACGCGCGCACTGACACTTCACGCGTCTTGACTACTGAACAAACAAACTTGATTCCATTATTGAGGAATTAAAATTGATTCGATTTCATTAAATTTAAAAATAGAACAAACTTAATCAGATTAAATTAATTCTTAAATTTAGAAATTTTATAATCAAAACCGAATTGAAATCTTTTATAACATATAATTAATATTTTATTATTGATAGAGTATGTACTAAACGAATATGGTAAAATTAAATTATCCTGTCAGCTGACAAGGTCTATTCCGTGGCCATTTATATTGTCTGGTATGCGAGTATTGGCTAACACCAATGAAGATGCATTTATATTGACAAGGAAGTAAGAACATAGAAATACAAAGTCAATCCCTGTTTGCCACCGAACCACAATAATTTCTCTGTTTTCCACCGAGAGTACGCGCTGCGTTAGACTAATCAAAACCATCCAAACAAGAAACAGACAGGCTCCATTAATAAGTGACAAAAGCAATGGCCATTGTTCACACTGACACAAACCTCATGGGCAAGGAGAGATTCACAGGGATCCTTGCCGGATCAAATAATTATGGATTAATATTGATTGATATGCATGAGACGAGACATTTTACGCTTACTGTTGCTTCAGCCTAGTGAGCATTTTTTCATTGCTCTGAACTTGACACTTCCTTATTCAAAGTACTAAAAAGTGAGTTTATAAACGAGAAGTAGATTAAATAATATGAAGTAATTTATTTGTTTACTATTAATCAATGATGCATAAAATATTTAAAACAATGAAATACCGAAAATATCTTCTAATTTAGCCGTGGAAATAGATTAATTTTAACAATAATATTAGCTTAGGTACGGTTAACAAAATTTCAGCGGCTAATTATTTGACAAAAAAAAATTTTTACGACCCGATATATAAAATTTCGAACGCATTTCAAAAGCTTGCCAATCCAGAATACTTGTTCGTTTTATCTGCTTTTTTTCCCCTTTTTTTCCACTATTAAAAAAACACCTTTGTAGCTTTTTTTTTCTTTTTAAATTCCATTATTCTCCCTTAACCATTAATTTTTTTACCGAGGCATATTTTTTTAATCAAAAATATTTGTACTTTTAAATGATATAACTTTGTGTCATTTTAAATTCTAACTGCTGACTTTCGTCAATCAACGGTTATAATTTGTTGCGAATTTTTAATTAATTAATAAATTCGACCCTATAAATTATAATTGTTGATCGATGAAAATCAACAGTTATGATCAAAATGAACAAAGTTATATCTTTTAAAAGGATAAATATTTTTCACTTTTTTAAATGAGAAGAAACTTTAATTGTTTTTAATTGGTAGACTTTTCATAAAATTAGTATATCTATATTAAAGCAATATATTAATTTAATCTATAATTAATAAATTATGCCAGTAGTATAAATTATTAATTAAATATCTAAATAAAAAATAAGCTAATCTAATAGAAAAAAATAAGCTTTTATAAATACATAGGCCATAGCCAGCTTAATTATATGTATAAGCTTTCTTTTGAAAGTCTAAATTTGACTTATTTATTAAATATGTTTAGTCCAAAATAAGTCAAAAATATATTAGGTAGGCGGAATGTAACATAGATGGGTGCCTAACTTATTCTAACCTTCAACTTCTCAAATTTAGGTTTTAAAAATTGAAAGTTATTTTGCATTTAAATTTAATATTTGTAAAGTTTTTAATTAAAAATGTATTATTTTAACTTTTTTGGCTTTTTTTTTTTTTAAGTTAACATCACGTATCAAAAAAAAAATTAACATCTAAACTCGTAATAAATTAAGAAGTAATTTTTTATATATAAAAAAAATAGATCATTTTTTATATCATAATGATTTGAGATTAAGTGGGGTTGGGTGTCCCACACGGTCACACAACAACCACCAGAAGTTGGGCAAATTGCGGGCTCCACCAAACAAAAAATTCCACGTCGGAATTGGCTGCATTTTTTATGCTACTTGAGAACAAGAATTTCTCTCAATTGACTCATCTTTATCCGTACCGTTTTACTAAGCACATGAAAGCAGCCACGAAGACGTGTCCAAGGAAAGGATAGGTGAGACTGAGAGAGTATTTAGAATTAGAAGACACGACTGAATAAGAAAAGTTTGGTGTTGGTCCCACAACATTGAACACGTGACTAACATGTGTGTCCCTTTCCCACATTTAACGAGGACAAAGCTTGGCCTCCGCTTTCATACCTTGCTCGTTTCACTCGTTTCGTTTGCGTGGCCATGAATAATTGCATGTTGCTGTTTTTTTTTAACTAATTTTTAAAAGAGAAGAGAAGAAAAGAAGACTAGGATTCAGCATTTTTACAAGGAAATTATCATTGATGCGGCTGCTAACTGGGTTCCTTCCTTGGTGCCAAACACATACGTTGCTTTTGTCCATTTTAAGTTTGATAACATGTTGTCTATTTTAAACTGCTACTAGTCTACTACCGTCCAAAACGTGTTGACCAATGAACTTGATTTTTCTGAGGCACCAAGCCAACAAGGCAACCACAGAAACCACGCATAAGCTTATCATGCCAAGTATAAAAGAAGAATATATTTTTCGAAAAAGTATGTATCATTTTAAAAGACATAATTTATGTTGTTTTGGTGTATTTTTATATTTTTTGTCTTTTATTTTTTTTCTTCCTAATTTTTTAAAAAGAAAAAATATCAAAAAAAACATCAAAATGACATAATTTTATTAAAAATGACATAAAGTTATGTTATTTAAAATGATAATTTTTTTTTTCTTTTTTAAAAAAAACTTAAAAATAATAATAAGTTATTTATGTCAATAACATACTCTATAATTGGTTTACCAAAAAAAAAAAAAATACTCTATAATTGGCTAGCATAGTAAATATTACATTACTTCATAAATCTTATTTTAGATATAAGAATATGAGATTCTAGCTTAACGTTATACAATAACAATAAATCAAATTTACTGATACATGTGGAATAAATTGATTATGTCATTATCTTATACTAAAAAAGAAACTTTTCTATTTTATCACTATGCGGTACATCAAATTACTCTGAACTCCTTACAGTCCTCCAAGTCTTTAATCCTGATGCTCCATCTCGTTTCAGAAATACTCATATTTAAAACTTTTATTTTCTGGAAATGTTATCATAAACATAAAAATATGTGAAAAAAATCACAGTAATATTAAAATGAATAATGTTTATTTTGTGACCGCCTAAATTCTTTTTATTTATAATATTTTTCGTGTCAAATTTTATACTTGTTTTTCTTTCCTGGCATTTGTTGCAGCATTTTGGCGCTTCTTGTGCGGTATTTTTGCACGGAACTGCTCGCGTGATCGGTACTAATGAACAGTATCTTTTGTTTTGTTTTTTTGGGAATATTACAATGTCAATGTAATTTTTGATGATTTCGTTAAATTAACTTTAATACTTGACTTGATTAGTCCCTTCTCTCTCTTTTTTCTTTTGAAAATAAAAAATTTCATTGAACTTGGTGAGGACAGAAGAAAGGTTTCACATAGACTTGTAACAAATCAAGATATAGACCAAAATCCAGAAAGTCAACCTACCACCCATCAAAAACTAGGAACAGCGTCGTCTCCTTCAAAAGAAACAATGCCAACTGAACCACAAGTAATTAGACTTTAGAATGTTCTATTTTAACCACAAGTAATCTCCCTGATTTGTGGTGAGAGCGGTGTTTGGTGTTCCCCCCTTCCTTTTTATGTGAGCCTCTTATAATAATAATAATAATAATAATAATAATAATAATAATAATGTTCCGTTTAAGTGTATGAATATTGTCATTTATTATCAAGCCAATCCAAATGTCAATGTGAACCAGTAGTTCAATAATAAATTGGAACCGAAACTAGACATGGAAAGATTTCCCTAATTTGATGGTATTTGGCAATTATATTTCGAATTCCTTTGGCATACCTGATATAACAATGAACAAAGTGAGAACTGAGAACACAACTACATAGATGTGTTCCACCAGAACATAAGTCATCTCTCCGCAATTATTATGAATTTCTGTGGACTTTTGAAACTTCCCAATTCCTGATTTCTTAGCGAAGCAAATGTGAAAATCAAATGAGTACAAAAAAACGCACATACCACGAAAAAGTCAAGGCCAAAATAGAGAGTCAAATCATCCATACAAAAAGAGAGAGGAAAAACTCCAATAATATTAAACATGTTAAGAATTTATTTACCAAAAAGAAAAAGCAAGTTGAGAATTTAGAGTCCCTCTTGAGGGAAGTCAATTTATTGTGTTCACAACATGCATGTGCCTGACTGAGGTGCATCGCCAATCGCCATTCATATCCAATCTTGTAGGGAACAAAAATGAGCCTATTAACTAATTAAATGAACTGACAAATAAACCAATTTGCAATAACGTCTCTTACACTAAATAAAATTAGCTAAGTAGTTATTTCTATGGAAAAAGAATCATCCTTTTGAATGATACAAGCTTGTGTCATTTTAGGTGTTTTACACAAAGTACGACCGGTCGTACTTTGTGTAAAACTGAAAAGTTACTTTTTCTTTTTCTTTTTTTCCAGTCACATCGTTGACATGTAAAGTGAAAAAAAGTAACTTTTCAGAATTACACAGAGTACGAACTCTGTGTAAATCACTAAAAGGACACAACTTGTGTCCTTTTTTTTTTTGTAAGCTGGGTAAAACACATCACAGCACAAATTAAATAACTGAAATACGACGAGTTCTACAAATAGAAGCTAAATCTGCATCAAACAGCAGACCAATTCCAAGGGGAGGGGAATTAAAAACACAAAAATCATCAGAATTAACATTCATAAAAGGAAAATTTGCCAGCCAATCCGCACAACAGTTTCCTTCTCGAAAGTATGAACCAGATGAACTCTCCAATCCTTTTGAATCCATGTCCGTAATCGAGAAATCAGATGATTCTCGCGGACTGCATCACCATCACTAGTGAGCATAGCAATAGCTGATTTAGAGTCACTTTCTACAATAACATTTCTCCATCAATCTTTCCAAGCTAGTTGCAAATCCTTTAAAATACCCCAGAATTCTGCAGTAAGAGCATCACAACTCCCAATTCTATAAGCAAATCCTTTTAACCATTGACCAGCATCATTTCCAATAACACCACCACAAGCTGCTAATCTTTGATGACCCTTAACCGCTCCATCCGTATTAATCTTTACCCAATTGCTTCCAGGAGCCTTCCAACAAATCAAAGTATCGGAATGGGACCGGTTATTTTGAGCTAAATTAACCTTATGAAAAGCATCTTGTATATCTCTCACCTTGGCTATCACTGACTGAATCTTGTATTGATAATCATGAACCTGATTTGGATTGTCATGACTCCTTTCATTCCTCCACTTCCATGCAAGCCAGCAAGCCGTAGCAAACTTGTGTCCTTTTGAATGACACATACTAAACCCTATTTCTATTCATTTTGCTCTATTTTCCCGTCAGTTCAAGATACAACCATTTTCTTAAGTAGCTTAAAGATCCACTCTCAAAGGCTTACTTTCATAAGAATAAATCCAAAACAATTTAGATGAGTATCAGAAGTCATTCAAATAACATCAAATGCAAACTAAGCCTAACTCTTAATTAAACCATGTGTTTGCAATTGAAAAGATCCAATTCAATCTACAAACTTAAGATTTTGGATAAGGTTTCACTAATAATTTTTTATAATTCTCTAATATATCCCCTCATATGAGAACTCATTAGACTTGACGAGTAGATGATGCATGACATCCAGTCTAGTTGTACTAAAAAATTCCATAATATTTATTTTTTATTAATGAAATGACGGCGATGAGGATCAAACACATGACCACGTAGTCATGTCGACACTGATATAATAACAAAAATCAATTCAACCGAAAAGTTTAAATGGTTGGATGAGGTTACGATTTTTATATTGCTATAACATTAACTTATGTTTAATAGTTTTTCCGTTTATATATTAAAAATCACAATACTGATAGAAAATACTAAAATTAAGAATAAATAAAAATAGTTTAAAAGAAAAACAATGTATTGCATAAAAAAAAATATAAAAAATTAAGATAAAAAGTAAAATAAAAAATAAATAGAACTAAAAGAAATCACAGATATGAATTTCAAATATGTTTCCTTTTATTTTTTTTCTATTTATTATTTTTTTATGAATATCTTTAGTAGATGGGAAACATAAGGCTAAAAAAATCGAGGAGAAAATAAGAATAAAATAGACCAAAAATTGAGAAAGAATAAAAAAAAAATCAAACATATCTAAATAAAAAAGAATAAAATAGACCAAAGACAAAAAAGAAAAATCAAAGAAAAATTAAAACTAAATATATTGGAAACTCATAAGTGACTTCTTTTTATTCTTTTTTATTTTATTTTTTCTTCTATTTTTTGTCTTCGGTATATATTTTTTCATTTGGACTATTTTTTTTTAATTTTAGTCTTTTATGTCACTGTTGTGATTTTTAATATATTTGGTCTTATTTTTTCTTTTTTCTAATTCCATTTTTTTTATTTGGACACATTTGACATGTTTACTATTTTTTCTTTTAGTCTTTTATTAAGTGTTCAAAACTTTCGTAACATTTGATCTTTTTTTATCACTTTATTTTTTTATCACATTTGATCTAAAGGGGTGTGGATGAAAAAAATTACAGGGAGTTAAGTGATTAAAAATAAGCATAAAAATATAAATGATTCTAAGCATACCACAAGATTTTTTTTGAAATTTTTCCTTTCTTATTTATGAAGCTGATCAGAACCAGTTTTACAATTGGGCTCATCATGTGATCTTCCTCTACACAAATGGCCTAGAACCGCCTTGGGTCAGAGCATCTTGCAGTTGGAGCAACTTTAACACATGGGTCTTCAATGGAACAAGGTCGGGGCTGTACCTGCAAGACACTCCAACCCTCAAGTCAGATTTGGTTCAAGCAGGTTTTAATTATGTAGAAGAAGATGTGTACCTTGGATTTAACACATATGTATTTATGGTAGAGAGATGAACAACTTGGTGATTTTGATTAGTGATCAAGTTTGCTTTATCTTGGTGCCAAAGTAATACAGTTGTATCATTAATATAATATTGAGGAGCTTGATGAGATAAGCTTGTGATAGAGATGAGGTTGCAGCCTTCATTAACTGTAGTCTTTACTGAGTGATGAAGGCTTTTAATCTGGGCCATGTATTTATTATCATTCCAGATCAGAAGTCCTCCTGCTCGGTGCTTATGCCGAAGGCATGAGAAGCGCGATGTATAAGTATGCGAGATGATTTGCCGGTGTGGTAACTAAGTAGCTTCATTTTACTTGCGCCTTTATTGTTCACTATGGTCTATACCTTGTTGGTTCTTAAGGGCTTCATAATCAAATTTGTAACCTGCATTTTATACGATTCATAATTCATATTTTATATATTTTGCGTATCTTTCTATTTTGCTTGCTTTCTATTTTGATGTCGCTTTTGGGTCATTCATAATTCATAATTTATATAAACTCGACTTTCGTCAAAACATTGAACCGTATCAAGCTTGAACGTTGAACCTACATCACACTGCATCATGTATGTCAGCCAATTTAGCAATAATGCATATGGTTTTTGTCCCAGTCACCAAATAACTTCACAATGCCCTTCTTTTTTACTTTCCTAGCCTTCCTGTAAGTTATATTATACCTATAAAAACGTTGTATTCTCTCTAGTATCAATACTGGTTTTAAAGCTAGATTTTCCCTTAACATACCTATTAAAAACAAATCAAGTTCTCAATATTTTCAGTAAATATTTTTTGATAAATAAATAACTTAAACAAATAATTTATAATTGCACGTATTACAAAACTTATTTATTATGGCTGCACATACAACCTCTGAATCTAACTGCTTTACCCCACTTGCGGACGACCCAAGTATTTTCACTATTCGGCAACATTTCCCTCATATACCAGGGACAACCGTCAACTTGGTTTAAACACATCATAACAAATCCATGTTCATCGCTTTTTGATACTACGATTGTACGACGAGCCTTCATATAATGCACTTTCATGGCATGTTGCATTTCAGATTTCGAACGAAACTTCTGATTCACATATAATGGATCCCCTAATTGCCAACCACCCTGCAAGTCATCGTCACCAAACAACATCTCCATCTCGTCATTAGGGTGTGCCCAATTAATGAAGGAATAATGTGGGCTTTCGGTTCAAAAGGCTGAATCTCGGGCCCTACGTCTAGTTCATTACATTTTTGTCAGTACTAATTACAACACAAATATGAAATGTTAAATAAAAACTTTAATTTACTAAGTTACCACTGCTAATTGGGTCAACATGAAGCGGTGGAATGACGGAGAACTCAGGTCTATTGGGTTCGTGTCAGCGTCAAAATCACTCTCCATGTCAGTATCTGAGGTGTCACCTAGTGAAATAACACTATTTGGTTCTTCCTCCTCATCGCTGTCCATATCCTCCATCTCCTCCTCCTTATCTTCCTACCGCAATGTTATTTGACTTAACACTTGTGCATGTGCAGATAAACCGACGACTCTGTTTTCTTGACGAAAATATTGTGTACGTCTTGTATGCTTGGGAGCAAATGAAAATTGGCCACAATCAACTTTAATATATATCTCAATTTTTATTTTTTTTGAAAATCTCCTATCATCAATTGCATCTATAACACATTCGACATCTTCATCATCACGGATATTTATCATCCGATGAATGCTTTTGTTGCCTTGTAGCTCCAATTTTTGCTAAATTCTCCCTTTAAGCTCGTTGTATGATTTGGTGTAAAAAAATAAACTCAGTAATGTTAGAAACGCTTGTTTAATGTATGTCACGTGACATTTGAGGATTCGATAGAAACGACGTGTCGTTTCATTTCCAACAGGTGCATTGGATGGTTTTGCAATCTGAGAAAAAATCCATCAATCTGTGAGCTAGGGCTTGTTGAGATAGAGAAGAGAAGAGAGGGAGAGGGAGAGAGAGGGAGAGGGGTTTGTTGTCGTTGTTGTTGATTGGAATCGAAATCAAATTATCAATGGCATCGGATCAGCAAGAAGGGAACAAACCGGCAAAGAGAAAGCCAGTGTTCATCAAAGTGGAACAGCTGAAACCAGGAACCAATGGTCACACCTTAGTCGCTAAGGTCTTGTCCTCCAACACTGTCTTGCACAAAGGACGACCTTCTTCTTCCCACAACCTTCGTCCCACTCTCATCGCCGAATGCCTCATCGGAGATGACACCGGCACCATCATCTTCACTGCTCGCAACGAACAAGGTTTAATTTCACCCCCCTTTTTGCTTTTCTTTTTCAAAAAAAAAAAATAATCTTTTGAAGTTATTTTACTTTCCCATTTGTAAAATTGGAAACTTCTCCCGCGGGCATTGTTTAATTGGTATTAATTTTGAGTTTTTCATTTGGGTTTTTCTCATTAGGATCTTGCATCATTACGGGTTCTGTGAGATTGTAGTTGGTTGGTTCTGACCCTATGGTTGCTGTTTCATTTACATTCGGGAATGGAAATTTGAAAGTGAGGCTGGGAAGTTGTATCGTTTTCAATAATGTGTCTGGGTCTACGATGGAGATCATAAAATGGCTGACTCAATAGAAAAGCCTTTATTCCTAAATGTTTTTTCGGTTGGATTATATGATATCGTTATCCTACTTAATTGGAATCATCCGTCTGAACTCTCTTTCACTTTTTGATGTACTAGCTTCTGCTTTATCGAGCTTTGTTCAAGAGTTTTGATGAAGTTATACTATTGTTAACCAGCATAGACTCGCTATATTCCTGTCACTGTTGTTCTTTTCGGGTAATCAAGGATGAATATGTTATGATAAACTGTATGAATTTCATTGCGGGAATAAAAGTGTGATGATGGTAATTGGAGAGTGTTAATAACTTCGTTCTATTTCATGTGTTCTGTGATGAAAAGTGTTGCTTTGAAGGTGACACGAATGAGAGTTGGCGTCTTATTTTATGTTCCAGATCCAAACCACTGTTAACAAAGTTTTTAGTTCATGCTTGTTTTACTCATTTAATTATTGTTATGCGGATCTAACTTTTCATTGAACTTTCTTCAGTTATTTATCATATCATTGGATTGCATGACCAGGAATGCCACTTTCATCAGCTTTTTAGTACAAGATTAATATTTACTGCTTTGAATCACTTGGACTTGGACTTATTGTTTACTCTGTATCTACCCTGATGATGAACACCTTCATTTTGGTTTTGTCCTTTTCCAGATCCATATTCTTGAATATTTTTACACTCTTGTTAGTTATCGGTGTTCACACATCAGGGCTTTTTTAATGAAAAGAAAAATCCTTGAGTGTGAAATTTATTATTCCTTGATATAGGACCTTAGGAATCAGAAAATGATAATGACGTCTTTAGACTTTGTCAGGAACAATTAGAGGAAGGAAAATGGGAGCAGGATTATGAAAATGTAATGCATATAGACAAGATATTTATGTTACATTGCTTAATCTCATTCCCTTTTCTCATTATAATTCTGTTGTCCTTCGACAAGCAAAATCTTGAGTAATTGGTTTATTTTATTTGGAGAGCTCATACTCCATATGTACAAGCATTTGTACATTAAGAGATGCCTTCTTGTCAGGTTTGTATGGAGTAGAGCTTCAGGTGATTTCTTTCAGTGAAAGTTACCTCTGATATGTTTTCTGTTGATTGGTGGTAATATGGATATTGATATATATAAGGCACCAATTTATGTTCTATTAATGTGATGAGGTGGCCTGTTTTTGTTTCTGTACAGTTGACTTGATGGAGACTGGAAATACAGTGATTCTTCGTAATGCAAAGATTGACATGTTTAAGGGATCAATGAGGCTTGCCGTTGACAAATGGGGGCGTATTGAGGTCACTGAACCTGCAAAATTTGAAGTCAAAGAGGATAACAACTTATCTCTGGTCGAATATGAATTGGTGAACGTGGTTGAAGAATAATGCCATAGTAAGATGCAAAGATAACTTTGAGTTATTTACGGTGCAATGGATACTGTCAAGGTAAAACTTAACTGGCTTATGGATGGATGCGTTGGTTGGTATACATTCTCACTTTAATTAGCCTGTATTTTCCCTTTTAACATGCTTGACATCATTTAGGGTCAAGTTGGTCTCACTTGAACAGTGTTGTGTCAAGCGATTAAGATTTGCTATTATCTTTATCAGCAACTGTATCCAACGAACTTAAGAAAGTATAATATTGTGTTAATATAATTATCCATATGTTTCTATGCATTTTCCTGTGCATTGACCTGTAATTTTAATTTTGTATTGGTATACATACGTACGAATTGTGTTTACGTTAGTGTTTTGGTGTAAACATTACGTGTCTTTGCCTCAAGAAGCAAAAATAGTCCTTTAAAATTCGAGTTAAAATAGATTTAGTCCATGAAGTTGTATTTTACTTTTGCAAATTAATTTACAAACACAACAGTTTCTGTTTATAGCTAAATGAATATTTTATTTTGTTGCCTACGCGGTCAGAATAATCTCCATATAACGGAGGGAGTTGGCTTATATGATCAGAGAAATTGTTCTGCACTTTTGTGTCTCGAGTTTAAAGACGCAATTGAAAATTAAATTCTCCTGGATTCGTTGGAGTGGATGTAAAGTCTGTTTGAATTTAGAGTCCTACTAATTTACCATCGTGTTAAAAATTTGTTACCAGAAAAACAACTACTATATCGATTTAATTTATTGTTTCGATAGCATGGAAGCATAAAATTATTATATTACAAATTTTTTATTTATTATGTACTTCAAGAAGTTTAAACACTTAAGTATATATTTTTTGAAGTACATAATATAATTTATAAATATAATTATAAACAAAAAATTTACAAATATAACGTAGGATACGGTGTTGAGGTATATATATTTTTTTAATTTTAATTTTATTTTCAGTATGTTTACGTCTTCTCTGTTTTAATTTTTTTGTTGGATTTTGTCATGTTAATTAATTTTATATTTTGTTTTAAAGCTATGCCATCAGCTAAACTCATTGCAGAAAACACTTCCAAGACAATTTTCTGGGTTAAACAAATGAGTATCAAACTAATATAAACTACCAATTTTTCGTATACAAAATAAAATGTTACAATCTAAAATCTTTCTCCACTAATTGCAGTCATCTTAAACCTTAAACCCTTTAAGGTCTCTCTTCCCAGATTCATAAAAATCAATTGTAGTCATCTTATCCTCCATTGTTGATGCCATCGTAATGAAGTGATTACTTCCTTAATTGGCTGATCTAGTTTACTCCCATCTCCTCTGAAGCTGATAGACTAGGAAAGCAATTGCGATGTTGAAGATTGATAAGTTTAGACTTTAGAGACATTGCCTTGCTTATTGTCTTCTTCGAAAACCCACATCATCAATATTGGGAGAAATGGATTGAGGACGAGGTGTGAAGGATTAGGTCATGTGATATGTTAATGGAAGTGGATGAAATTTTAACGAATGTAGTTAATTGCTGAAAGTTGAAAGTACAAGCAGGTAAATTGATTTAATTGAAAGTACAAGAGGATATTTTATAACACAACTAAAATATAAGAGGGTAAATTGTAATTTAGTCTTATTTTTATAATGGTGTTAACTATTTGAAGTTTGAACTCTTAATTATTAGGGTGCCCTAATCCGCCTGTCACGCTATGAACCAACGATAGTTGCTCCTCCTCGTCTTTTGTGCAAACCTTGACATATTTTGAAAGGTATGTCACCTTTTGCATCTGCAGCCTCATTTTGGTATAAAAAGAAAAAAAGAACGTTGATCATCGCCTACAATACCAAAAATGCATAAATCAACTTTTTCCATCAATTTTAACATTTTAAAGCTTTCTATTTCTACTATCCATTTTAGTATAATACACATAAATCTTATCAAGATGCATTAAAATTCCTTTTGGAAAATAATATGAAGCTGCCAGAGATTATCTAATTTTTGGGTAAATTGCTAAAGAAAAAATAGATTACGTCATAAATCATGATTGTGTCTTGGTTAGTTATTGGTGAAAATGATTAAAAGCGGTACATATGATCTGTCAGCCATTAGTTTCAACTAAAATACTTTTTGCAATTTTATTTAACCTTCATTTAGTAAAATAGGTTTTTCAAATACAAAGAGTGTAAAATGTTTAATTTAACAGTGAGGACGTTGAAATTGATTAATAGGAAAGCCTATTATGAAGGGGATAAAGTGTTCCAAGTTAATAACAGATCGCAATCCTCTTGTTAAATCTCAGCGGAGCCGAAGAGATGGATTTTATTTTTCATGAATCAAAAGACATTAAGATGACGGAAAGTGACAATTTTTTCGTGAATGTAAAAATCTTGATTACAGATAAAGGCATTACTACGTGTCTACGAAGGAGTTTGTTCCATTCGAACTACATGCAATTTTTTTAACGCATAGATCTTGCTCGTACACTTGAAGCCCCTTGCAAGGTGTTAGGAGTCTCACATTGATTGTGTAGGCAACTAGTGTGAAATTTATAAGGTCTTGGACACTCTCATCCTTTAAGCTAGCTTTTAAGATGATGATCCCATGGATCCCTATCATTTGATGCTTTCGTTGAGAGTCGAACCACGGAAAAGGCTACCTGATAGGTGGATGAAGCTGCCAAACGGGGGAAAAGGCTACCACCGGGTCAGAATGAAAGTCACCGTGGACGTCAGCCTTAAAGAGGATGGCAATGACAATATTAGAAGTCCCACATTGATTGTGTAGACAACTAGTGTGAGATTTATAAGACTTTGGGCACTTTCACCTTTTGAGCTAGCTTTTGAGGTGGAGATCTCATGGATACCTATCACAAGGTTGTTCGGAAAAGTTGTAGAGCGACATAAGTATCCAGCATAAGATTGATCAAGCAGGGTAGACACCTATTGTTTGTTGTAGCTGTCCAAGAAATTAAAGGTAGAAGGCAAAGCCATTTTTATGGTCTCTAATTTCTTTGGTCTACGCATATTTAGCATAATCCGATGTTATCCACTTCGTTCTCGAGAATAATCCTACCCCTCAAAAAGATAAAACCCCCTTTCTGACATAAGTTACTCAAAGCCTAGTAACAAAAGGGTCCTCATCCCTATCCAAAGCAACAGAGTGACGTTTTAATTGATTGTGCTAGTTAGGATTAGTTACCAACATTGGTATTAGGCATGCTTTTATAACATTGAAAATCAGCGTTACGTTGCTAACAGTCGAGGTGTAAACCATTTCCAAGAACAGGCTGAAATAAATCATCGTAAATCGCAAGTAAAAATAATGTTGCAATTATGTTTGAAATAAAATAACAACCATACCTAAGCATGGTACCAGCTCTGGATGCTTGTACAATTTAAGTCTTGCGAGTTTTCATATTCAACCAAGGAGAAAATCCTCTAAGCAGGTCTAACTAAGTAAATTTGAAATCCATGGAAAGTACGCGCAATGCACCGCACCCATAAACAGCAATCATCCATCTAGAATTCAGAAAGAAAATAACTTAAGGAATTCAAATCTATACACTATCACAACACATAATCAGAACCAAAAGGCCAAGATAATTACTAGTCATATTAATGTACCATAATAATTTTATAAAATGCAAATCATGTAGATACAACACAAATCTAATCAAGGAGAAGCAAAGCAGGTGGAAATGACGAAACATTACATGGCTAGTCCCCCAGCCTAAAGCCAAAGAGCAAATGATCACGACCCTAAACAAGAAAACAGCCATGTCAAAATAAAGAGTTGCAAAGTAGACATAGAAAAAAAACTTGGAAGCAGCAGCTGAAAGAAAACAAGTATGCAATTTAAACACATTGTTCATTTTACACAGACATGTTCAATTCTAACAATTCCAAATCATATGCTTACAGGCCAACAATTATGGCATCCAAGATCCCGCCCAAGATTCTTAACAGTAACTTAGTCAACAAGAACTTCTATTCATAGGTGAATATTTAACAGACAATTTCAATCTTAAGTTAAGACTGCAACATCATACTAATGGGTATTTACTGCAGCAAACTAAAGAAAAAAATTTGCACCATGAGACACTGCTCCGACACTCTGCATTGAGGCTAGTTTCAAATTCTATGGATCCCTAATGACTGTGCTTGTTGGCATAAGTGAATCCTAAGGTGGTTAGTCAATGTTCTTATACTGCATGCGCATGCACTCCCATTCACATACATACATCATTTAACAAATTCATCAAGCTGGAATAAGAAACCAAAATGTATATAGCATATATACAAATGGTATCTAGAAAACAATATGCAATTATAAAACAGAAACCAATTGTCGCTTACTTAGGGTCATCTATATACACTCAGCAAATGATTGTTTGACATTAAAGCGTATATGAACAATTCAAAATCCCAAAAGAAAAAATTTACTCAACCACCTTTTTTAGAGCGCATGTACATAAAACTTTGCTCGAATCCTCTGTCATTCATCATACATCATCATTGAAATCTGAGCGAATACAATCAATCAGTACGATCTTCACACGATTATCTCTTAAGTTAATTTTGATTTATAAAACGGTCTAGGCATTTTTAAAAAAGACAGGATGCACTAAATAAGACAATCCATAATAACTCTTTTAAGACAGAGAAACACGGGTTGAATTGCTTGATAACTCAGAAAGTAAAAGGTTATTATGAGATATGATGTTCAATATGTCATTTTACATTCAATTTCGAAATCTCATCCTCTCACTAATCTATAGAAGGTAAGTTCTCAATGCTTCAAAACCCAAAATTTGAAACAAATCCATGTGACACCATCTTTGATGCTTGATCTTCATCTAGTCTTCTCTTGCCCTACAAAGGGGGAAAAATATACATCCTTTCATTGTGAGAGCAAGAGAAAGAGCCTAATTAAAAAAGAAATGTTTGAAGAGCAAAAAATAGGAGTCCAAATGCACCCAACATTTTCATCCATAACAGGTTATTCAGACAAACGTTTTATTCCAAGTCTCATTCAACAACCAGGTCCTATATAATATAAAGTTACAAATAACATTTCATTTCAGGGTCCAAAGCTCGCATTTCATAAATTTAAGCTCGTGATTGTGAAGAACAAGTCGTCTGTTTTCTAACTCTTGACATAAACACCTAATTATATTCAACATAGTTCCACAATCCAAGGAAGCAAACACAACATGATGATGGATAAAGTGAAAAATGGGGGAAATACCTTCAGGGGTCCAACCGTAAGAGTGGCGAGAGACAGAGAGCATGGAGGTCATCAATGCGGAAGCTGTAGCACTATGATAAGGAAGCATCGATTCCACGCAGCAACTCAACTCAACCGGCGACCTAATTGCAAAAAATATGATTAGGTTTTGATGTTTATTCAACAGATATATATATATATATATATATATATATATATAGAGAGAGAGAGAGAGAGAGAGAGAGAGAGAGAGAGAGAGAGAGAGAGAGAGAGGTGTTGAATGCGGTTACCTGAAAATGCGATTAGAGATTGAGCTTTGCTTTGGGATCCTAAACGGGGATCGTGACGGTGTTGCTCTAGCTCCGGCAGCCAGATTCGCCACACCGGCTGCTCGGGATGCGGCGGAACGTAGGAAAGACCTGGCGGCGGACATCGTTTTGTAACCGAGGAACGAGCACCAGGGGTTTTTCCTTGTACTGGGTTTTGCTATTTCCTTTTTTCTTTTTCTTTTTTTTTTTAATTCTTTATTCTTAATTTTGTGCATGGGTTATATTATATGGGCTTGGATAGTCTTTCTGGGTTATCGGCCTCAAATGGGCCCAATCATATCGACTTATGATTGAGTATATAATGTTCTCTATAGTGTAAGATGAAAATATTCTCAAAAGTCCTACTGAATCCGATTGACTTAAAATGTTAATATGAGTTCAATTCAGGATAGACGAGCAGTGTCAAAACAGCAGCAATGATTCAAATCTTTGAGAGAATTTTTTCGAGCCAAAGTTGGATAATTGTTACATCGTTCCATTCAGGATGTCTCATATATAAATACTAGCCCCTTTTCTCGTCCGGATCATGCGAATACCCATGAGGTGATAGGGTAGAGTAATCAGGGTTGTGAGAGATGATACGGGTACCATTGTAAATTACATAGACTCTTTTGCCACCTCATTGTTTCCTTGCGTGAAGGAAATTATGGGCCCTAAATATATGAGCCCATATAGCATTCACACTTTGTTTTCTAATATCCACCTTCAATTTTTTGTTTGGCTTCGGTGTAGTTAAATTCACAATTTACAACTTGACGGATATGGATTTTTTTTTATCATAAAGAAATATATGTGGTGTAAGAAAAATGTAAGAGAATATCATTATCCTTAAATATGTATCATATGTCAAGACTTTATGGAGAGTTAAAAATTACACGGTATATGCATATTGTTGGTCTAGTAGTGACCCAACTAGATTTTCAGATTTAATCTGCCCAAAGAGTAATAAGTTCTTAGAGTCGGAATTGCTCAGAAAAGTTGAAAAAGTTCAAATTTGAAACTGGATTAGTCATGTTCGTTAAGATTTCGTATACCAATTGTTACCTAAAAATGAAAAATAAAAATAAAAATTGCGTCCACAGGCCTACAATAACTCAAAAATTGGTTTCAATCATACTATCATGTTTTGAATAATTCTACAAAATTAATTCTTATGATTTTCAAGGTACCAGAATTAATGCAGATATTTTATTTAGGTTTGTGTATTTTCAACTAAGTCCAAATTTAAATGGTGGGATCAAAGATAGCACATGTAGACTATAGGAAAATGTACTAAAGTCAAAAGGTCAAATCGAAAATACAGTTAAACATAGATCGAAGTAAGAAAATACAAGCAACCCTCTTTTATTATTCCCATAATATGAAATAAAAAGTTACAACAAAGTAGGGAAAATTATAACAGATCATGTAAGAAAAGCTATCTGAAATAACTCGAAATCATTAGAGAAATTTGACAAAGAGCAATAACAGAATTGAGAATTCGTATTCTTAAATGGTGCAATCATATGCTAGTTCCTTGAACTCTTCTTGCTCTTGCTAATCTTTAGGAGTGTATCAAGTAGTATGGGTATGCAAATGCCTCGAGACATATCCATTCCTTGTACTTTAGAGCCATCAGAACAGGAACCTTTTGCTAATTTCTTCTTCCTTTCTTCAACCCTTAAAGTGTTTGGGAAGTACAAGCGTCCTCTCTCACCTGGTTTAATTCCAATTAACTGTGCAAGGGATACACTCTTGTCTTGAAAGAACGATGCCGTGGACTGGTTGTTGCAACAGAAGAAGCAGTAGAACAAACTGTAAGCAAGAGACTTTACAAGCTTCTTACTTTTTTTTTTGTTCATAAAAGGAGTAAACATTTCACATGGTCTGTAATGGTCTATATTAGATACATAATCTATGCAAAGTTGATTCTTTCCACAATTTGAGGTCTTCATTAACTCCTAGCTAGAAGGTTTAAACCATTACTATACCAAGTAATATTGATGGCCAGAGTTTTACTCTCTTTGGGAAAACGGGGAAATAAATGTCAGGTACATGTGGATTTCATTGGATTCCTTTCCATAAATATGTAAAAAACTAATTCAACCCAAAAGTTTAAGCTATTGAGTGTCACTACATTAATGGTTTTATATTTCTCTAAGGAGCAGAGATGCTCTTTAAGTCCTAGAAATTAATTTGTTAATTGTTTCATTTGTACACATTTTACATGAAGTACAAGTGCCTAGGACAGTTGAACATGAAATACAGGACCTATGATATCAAATAGCATTGTTTTTGTTCCAAAGTGATATTCATTCAATGGCAATGAGTAAAAGCATTATATCAAACCAACTGTGTCTGTCACACAGCAATAAAAATAGAACCGGGAAATTCAGATTACCTCAGTATCAAGGTTAGAGGATGAAAATGAGGAGAAGCTGGTGGATGGCACGTGCAGTTGGTATGGTTCCACTGAGGCTGCTGAGAGGGATTCTACTACTCTAAGTCTCATATTCAAGAAGCCAAGCCCAAGTGGCCAACCAATAGGCATCTCGTCATTCTGGGAAGAGACGACAGTAAAAATTAGCAACACTAGATACTTTCATCATGGTTAAACAAGTGAGAATGAAAAGTTACATAGTAATTTCAGCAAACATATATGCACGTAGAAAAACGTCAGCGCCTTGATTACAAGAATTTTCAAAAGAACAAGGTGAAATTTAAAATTTATGATGAATAAAATGGTATCTCCTCTATTGCAACATCTAAAATATATGACGGATATTATCAGTACTTAACACCTATCAATCTGCTTTATTTCATCATACGGAATGACTTCAATTCCAGAATATGGATCAATCTGATCTTAATAAATGTAATGGCTAGAACATTCTCTTCATTGAAAAAATAACGAAAAGGATAGGGTATGTAAACACAAAAACATGCAAAATGTCAAACACAGAGTTGCTTTATAAATATGAAATGGAAGGGTGGGCTTCTTCTAATTATCAAAAGAAAAAACTTCATGTTAATTGATCTAGAAAAAAAAAACTATACTGAATTGGAGAAGTTGCAGTGATGTTTCTATTAAACAGATACTAAGCTAACGGAAAAGTAGTGCAATATGGAAGGTACCATTGTTGTTACTCTTCAGTCATTGTTAAGTGACAAGAGAATCTGTCTCACATTCTATCATAATTTGAGTTCTACTACTATCCTGCTTGTGTTAGAAGTAAACATTATTTTCTCTATGAATCTAGCTAATTTGACAATGAAACTCTTCCCCTTTATGGATGTGAGGGAAAAAAATTGATCTATAAAGCTGGCAGAACAGAGCGGTCTTATAATCATTTTCCAAAAGCCCAAAAGCTTTTTGATAATGAAGTATATCCATCAAAAGAATCACATATAGGGGACAAGTTGGCAAGATATTTTGTGTCTATAGATGCCAACGTTTGGGCAACTCATTCTGATCAACTTGGTTCTACTTTTAGTTTCCATCCATCTCAGTAAATTTTGCCACAAATTAATCCTTGTTTCTATAATCATTTAAAGAACCCCCAAAACTAAAGCTTCAAGTGCTTTTTACAAGGCTAAATGTTAGTACAACCAGTTTAATTTCTTGTTTCTTCTAGTTGCACTAGTTCTTCTACCAGCATTATGCCTAACTGACACTTCTTTTCCACTCTGAAGTGGTAAAAGAAAAATATCTCGGATCTATTAAAGGAAATAAGGTTAATCAACTGCCAACCTCAATTAGTTTGGGCAGAAAGTGATGTTTATGATGAAGTTATGTAGTATGAAAGGAAATAAGGTTGGGTGAAACTGATGGAATTTGAACTGTCGGCACAATTAACTAAGGATTGCTGTTCAACTGGTGTTTAAAAAAGCAATCTTATGATTCAGTGGTCTGTATGGGCTCATTTTTAGATCTGTTTCTCACTCTTGCTGTGCATCTTAATCTATTTTTTATTTTGTTCCCTCCTGCTTATGGATTTGGCCCACATCATGTGCAATTCATTCAGACTTTATCACTAATAATTATAAACTATAAAGAATAGTAAGTCAAAATAAGATGGATGGTTGTACAGATAATTGTTCCAGTGAGACAGACACTCCGGTAAAAACTCATACACCATCTAATTTTGACATGCTATGCTTAAAATGAATAATTTGATCTGCTTTTCGCCTGGCTATAACTCTTGGCTATCAAAATTACCAAATAATAACCATCCTGGTAGGGGACCAGTATTTTCTTACACCATTTTCATTACTAGATTAAGAAAAGGACATGTTAATATGATTAGGACATGCATATCAGTTCAAATCACATTCTTACAATTAAGTTCGGACAACAAACTCTGACGGGTTTAATGAAATGTTAATTCATGTGACTACCGATTTAACAACTGCTAAAATTATGATTTTAACTAAAGATACTTGTTGTAAATAGTACTAATGGGGTCTTTTTCTTTATGTCAGTCCATCTGAAAAATACAAAATTTATACACATTGATAGACACGGTTTTGTTTTCTTTTTATCAGTCCATTTGGAAAATACAAATTTTACTTACATTGATGACATGCAAGGTTACTTTCAGAAAACTACTCCCAAAGCATGTTAATTCCCAAAAATAACAACAACAGACACACATAACAGCCAGAATTCAATTCACATTTCATGAAATATGACATGCAAGAATCCCAGTAATCTAACAAGATAGAACAACATATAATCTGTGCATTAGAAACCGATTCTCATCTAATGCAGGAAATCTACTGATGAAAGAAGACTGCATACCGCTTAGAACATAATCACTCACTGTGAGCAAAACCAGAGGCATTACAAAGATTCAGTTTCCATTCTAGTTTAAACACTTGACACTCCAAAGTCCAAACTTATTGACATTTATGGATCAATAGCATTAAACAGACCCAAACAAAAAAAATCTTGATCTTTCACTTACAAAACAGTGAAACATGTGATAAACCAGCTGAAAAGGGAGTGGATGATGAAAAGAAATGTTGAATGCCAGAAGAAAATTGAGAAAGAAGGCACAATGCGAGAATATATTTGTACTTATTTATGCAAAGAATACAAGTCAAGCACGAAATTATTACCTCTGCAACCATGGCGTTTCTGCCCTCCACAGAGAAGTTGATGGCAAAATAATGATCCCAGAGAAAACAAGGAGCACCGTAAATAAATTAATAAAAATGTTTTGGAGAAATCAATGACTTATGAATTTACGTGTCTCCTATCTAGTATTCTTCCTTAAAACATTATTAGACATTTAAGAGTTTGGTCCCACTTGAACTGCAGAACTCACTCTACCTCGGTTAGGCTTTCGTTTTTGTGATGCAAGTTTTACATCCTACACATATAAAATGGTACATGAGACTCATATTTTGGGGAAGGTGAATTAATTATTTTATATCTCAATAGTACTTTGGGTTTGAAGGGTGGATATGACACAAGTTTATTTTTTTTTATCTAATTTATGCTTTTTTTAATTCTACCTCAAAGTGGGAACGGTGAGGATCGAACTCGTGACTTCGTGATCACTAAAGTTCCGTGATAAGCATCACTTCAACCTAAAACCTTAAGATATTAAGTGAAGCTAAATTAATTATTTTATATCTTTTAACACACTTTTATGTGTGCGTAAGATATAATAAAATAAGAAACATTATACTCCAAAATTTGGCAACTAAAATCAAAGCAATTAAAATGCAATAACGCGCCAAAATAAATAATAAATAGTGTAACATATAATTAGAAGAATGTCTTTACTTTTAATTTAGCGCCATGTTTTAAATTTTATTTTTATTTTTTTATTTTTTTGTAATATGTTTTAAATTTCTTAGGGAGTAACCAATTCGACAGCTATCAGTGAGGGGAAAAAAAAAGGATTGTAGTAATTGATGAGTGATATTAGAGTAAGTGCTGTTATTCTTTTTTGGGCATTTAGCTTTTGGGGTTGGTGGAGAAGTATCAAGTATATATCAACATTCAAAACGGTTGGGCGAATGTAAGATCTATGGGTTGTTTACTTGGTGAAGCATTTCTCTACAATTTTTTTTTTACAAATTACATTAAATATGACTGATCGTATATCTTGATTGAAGTATGATCGATCATACTTAACGTAATTTGTAACAAAAAATTTGTAAATATATTTAGTTTAATTGATAAAAGTAGTGGATTTTTAAAGCAGTTTCTGTCACCATTGATCTGTGAAGCACCACCTAAATCATCGGGCAACAACGTATAACAAGTTACACACTCGACTGTTATAATCAGTGGTTGATTATTGTAACACGCAAGTGAAATTCACATTTGATATTACACGAAACTGAAATTTGTTATATTGGCAAATACTTTAGTGTTTCTGTTGTTGGGTTCTTATGTAGGAATTCTTTGTATTTTAATTTTCTACAAAATTTAAAGCAGGACACGTAACGTTTACTGAAATTATTAAACAAACATAATTTTTTTTTCCTATCTTTACCAGTCTTAAAAAATTTTGTTTTTTATTTTTACTTTTGGCAGAAATATTTTTCTTACTTTTAAGTTTAATCTGTATTAATAATTAGGAGAATGATCCATTTACAATTTTTTTTTACAAATTACACTAATTATGACCAGTTATACATTCTTGATTGAAGACCGGCCATATTTAATGTAGTTTGTAGACAAAAAAATTTGTAAATATAACATTTTCCTAATAATTATCCTAAATATAGAGAATGGTCATTGGCATAGATAATTCACTTTTAACCGGTTTTGTTATTCCGTCATTTTAATAGAGAATAGGAAAGATTAGTCGTTTTAATTATTGATATTTATAGTTTAGATCACCGACTTCTTGTTCTTAACTTCTCTTAATTTATAAGTCTTGGTAAACAAGTTGATACCAACCCACTCCATTAAAGTTATTGTTAAGTCATATGTATTTGTTATCTGCTGAACAAATCATGTACATGGGCATGGCTAAAATGCAAAAATTTATGGGTATGGTGGATAAATATATGAATGCTTAATCTCTTCACATTATTCTTAGGATTAGTGAAATTATGGTAAGAGAGGATAATGAAATTAAGAAATATATACATGACTTTAGCATCGTGCGTTCATTACGATTTTTTTTTTTTCATTTTCCCTCAATGATTCAAATTTTTGACATTTTAAAAGTTTAAATGAAATAATCACTTAAGTAATTTTACTAATTTATTTAGAGTATGCTAGCTATTGAAAGATAAATGACATTAACTTAGTCTACTAAAAAATATATTAAATTAGTTTTTCAATAATATAATAATACGTCAACTCAATCCGTAATCGTAAAAAGTTGAAATTTATTTTTCTCAATAATAAAAAATGACATCAACTTAATTCATCAATTTCCCGGTTTATACACAACACTATGACACCAAATTAATTAATCAATCTCGCCGTTTATACACAAACAGCGTAATTATGATATCTAATTTCATAGTTTAAAGGCTAAACCAAAGCAAGTCAACTCTTATTTACAAAAAAAAAAAAAAAAAAGCAAGTCAACTCAACCATTCAAGGGTAAAAGTAGGTATTTATTATTTTATTTATGGGCTTTAGTTTTTTTATATTGGATAAAAATTATTTTATCATGTTGTGACATAATTAATAATAAGTTTCATATTTATTAAAAAAATTGCAGGTAAATCGAAGAGTCACATGAAAAGTGTTATTCCTTTATTTATACATCATAACAGATTTCAAGTATTACTATATTATTATATAAGTTATGCTAACATATGATTAAAAGCACATATCAACAAATAAAAATAACATTTATTATTTGTGTCAATTATTTAAGTAAAAAAATGTTAAGTATTTTTTAGACTTTTAAAATATTCAATTCTTGTACACATCATTTAATAGTAAGAAAATTAGCTATCCAGTTGACGAAATCCTAGTCTAATCGTAGCTTTTTTTTGGTATAAATCTAAGGGTTAATAACTTCTTTTCTCGTACGAGAATTTTTTTTTTCCTGCCCTAACATCGAAAGCTGTATTTTGTTTTTATTTTTTTTACTTTTTTAAGGATTTTATTAATCTCATGTTAAAAGAAATAAGTTATCTCATTTTATAAAGACAAAATTGTGAGCTCCACCACCTGAAAAAATAAAAGAAAAGGTGACAAAGTTATCGAAGGGTGTGTAGAAAAAAAATTATCTCATGTATTATGAGAATAATTTTTCCCTTTTTTTAATATACAAAATAAGAAGAATTATAATTAATAAATAAAGTTAGTTTGATGATAAATGTTATAAGTTGTAATTCACATTGTCTATTTTGAAATCTTATTGGTAGTGTTTTTTAAATATTTTGTTCAAAATTCTATAAATTTTTTTTTTTAATTGAGTACCGGTTTAACATTGGTTGAATCTGATTCAGCATCAGTTCATCAGTTTTATATCAAGTTAAATACATAATCAATCTAATATCAAAATCCAACCAATTAAGGATCTGATTTACGAGTTAATCAGTAGAATCAGCCGAATCGGATCGGTTTTTATAAATCTGGATAAGGGTCCTGTTCGATGAAGGTGGTGATGTCGGTATCGTACAGCATCTAATAAACGCTGGAAGAGACCAAAATTTCACTTTACTAGGCGTAGCAGTTATTGCCACGTGGATAATGCGGGTCCCGCCCCACTGTTCAACAACCACTTATAATTATATATTCCTTGCATTTTCAGCCAGACGTACTTCGTACAATTTCTGACCCATCGTATACCTCCACGTACTCTTTAATTACCTTACTTTCACACCGGGGTTGGTACATTGCATTAATCTTAATTATGATGACAATGAAAGTATCCCAAAAACAATATATTGCCTTTTTGGGGATCTTCAATTTAAATTTCGAAATTAATAATATTTAGTTTTGGGATCTTGGACAGCGTACACAAATTTATAAAGTATTTGATTTGCTTTTCGTCGTGGAATCCATACATATTTATGATGTGTTTGGTATATGACAAATTTTTTTATTCGTAGGAATTCTGATTACAAAAAAATATACGGGAAAGTTGACTTTTACAAAAATATTATAAAAAAATTATTTGATAAGTTAAAATATTAAATATTAATTAAATATTTCTGATTTTATATTTAATTGATTATCAAATATTATTAAAAATATGTGATAATTTTACAAAACTAACCTGACAAAATATAACCTCTTAGTATTAACACAAACCAATAAAGCAGTCTACAAAGTATTTACCAAAAAAAAAAAAAAAACAGTCTACAAAGTGTTAGTATTAACCCAAGTTAATAACTGCATGACAACTATTATGTTTCTAAACATATTTTTTGAAAAGTAATAATTTTATTTTTATTTTTGTGTCATATAACAGTTTTTGAGAAAAAAAAAATGTGTTTGATAACATGTTTTATTTTTACTTTGAGAATGAGAATTGTATTTGATAACACAACAAATAATATAATAAAAAATAATTTATATTAAGCATAATTTTTTTTTGAATCATTACTTTACTTTTCATATGGTGTGGCAGTGGCGGCGATGGTGGTGGTAGTGGTAACGGCAGTAGCTGTGATAATAATGGTGATATTGGTGGTGGCGGTGATGATGACAATGGCTGCGACGATGATAGTGGTAATAGTGGTGGTGGTGGTAATGGTATAATGGCGGTTGTGACGGCTTTGGCTGCGACGATGGTGGTGGTGCCATCAGTGGCTGCGACGATGATAATGGTGGTTGGTGACAGTGGTGGTGATGGTGGTGGTAGCGGTGACGATGGCATGGTGGTAGTGGTGGCGATGACATGGTTACGGCAGTGGCCGCGGCGATGGTAGTGGTGATTGATGGCAGCATGGTAATAATAGTGGCGGTGGTAGAGGTGGTGGTAGTAGTGATGGTGGCAATGGGTGGAGGTGGTGATAATGGTGGCAGTGGCATCGTCGTGGTGGTGATGACGACGCTGGTGGTACGATGACGACGACATCGATGGTGGCGGTGATCGTGTTGGGATGATGGTGATGGTGATAGTAATGATGGTAGCAGTGAAGAGTGATTAATAAAGACAAATGTTTCTTATTTTATGTTCGGGAATAAAAAACAAAAAAAAAATATTCTTTTTTCTTTTCCCATCACAAAAATTAAATTTGTTCATCTCGGGAACAAAAA